TATATATATATATATATATATATATATATATATATATATATAGTATATATGTAAATATATATAGCTATATAACGTAGCTATATATAGCTATAACGTAGCTATATATAGCTATAACGTAGCTATATGTATATATATATATATATATGGATATTATATATACATGTGTTGTATATATATCTATGGTTTACTTATAGGGTTTACTAGATATTTAAGTGTCCGTGTGGCTCATAGGGTCTATGTCCCCCAGGGTACTGCCGGAACGGACTCGATCGTTAGTGGAGTAGGCGAGGTACGGTCCGGCATATATGATAGTGGTACCAGGGACCGGGTAAGTTCCGGCAGGGTACGTTCCGGCAGTACCCTGTGGGACATAGACCCTCTCAGCGTCAGTGTGCAGCGGGAGCAATGACAGGCACTTGAAGCGTTTCAATAAAATATAATGGTAACTAAATACGAAATCTATTTACTACCAAATTCTTAATGCTTCTATACTCTCTATTGCCGACAGTTTCCTGTAAATTCCGTCCAAATCCTAGCTATATACGTCCAACCATACGCTGCCGGCGCCATTGCTTTCGCGGCGCGACTGTTGCACGGGAGGCTAATATATATATTTACACAGATTGCCATGTGTGTCACATGCAGAAATATAATAGAAAAAATAAACTTCGATTATCATTACCTCGAACCATTCGTGTCACCAAAAATTTCAATGATTACTGTTATTGTCTGTTCAAAGTCTAGCACATATACAATGCTTACACTTAAGCAAACACTAACATTTTACTTACTACTAGAAAAGTAACGATGCTGTGTGATAATATATTTATTCGGTTTAGTAATTCAACGTTTATAAGTCTGCACCTTCTTTTCCAGGTCCAGGTTAAGAACGTTTTGCATTGTCGTCTCCAGCGCGCGACTTAGTTTGTAGACAATGAATCCTCAGGGAGGTGTTGACTCGGGTGAGTTTGCCGTTGTTCTTTGTAGTCATTGCCCCCTGCTGCATACATTCAGTCTCCTGCAATTTTGTTTTAAGTGTTTTCGATTTTCATTATTGTATAGCAATGCTGCTGTCACGTTTTCCTAGCTTTTCCTAAATAGATTTCAACAAAACGTATAAAATTAATAAGAAGATCACTTGATAGCCAAAATAGAAAACAACTTAAATGCAATCAAATGATGGAAAGCCTTGTGCTTTGTGTCACATCTTATAATCTTGTCATTGGTTTTAATATGTAGGACTGCCATGCATAACATTGTGGATTTAAAAAAAAATATCTACATCAAATCTGTTTGACTTTGTAATCAGGTATTTATTATATGTTCCAGTCCTTGACGTCATGTATGAGCTGAACCAGCGGGGGGGCAATTTTCATGAGTCATGTGCCCGCACGATCATCGGCAGCATTGTACTCATGAAGTAAGACCAATATGTACTTAACCTGATCAATAGACTTATATTTTCCTAGACATTAATAGTGGCAACACACAAATGGCACACATTGAAAGTTATGCCATGGTGAACGTGAAAATAGAAAGATATCCACAGCAATAAATGGCTGACACTACCTGTAGCCTTTTCTCCTGCCAAGAAGATTGTGTTCAAAAATAAGTGGTCATGAAGTTAGAAACATTTGTTCTTAAAATATTAGTCTATACTTAGAAGTTTATGACAACTTGTGTATGTGTTGACATAACTAAATAATCGCGATTTAATCAATTATGATTAAGTTGAGGTAATCATGACTATGTTGTCGTCTTATTGTCCTATAGGTACAACAACAAAACTTACACCATAGATGATATCGAGTGGAACGAAAATCCCAGCAGTACTTTTCCTGAGAGAGATGGTACAGCCATAACATACAACGAATTCTATAAAACGGCAAGTATTTTTATTATTTGTTGCATTGTTTTGAGCCAGGAGTAAGTTAACACAGGTGAGTTAAATCTTCCAACGAAGTTTAGGATAATATACTTGCTTTTGTATGTCTGTTTTATAATTCTGAGAACATTGAGGCACGTACGTTTGTGATGGTCATTAATTTCGTTCTGTTTTGAATGTTTCACAGCATTATGACCTTACAATACATGATGCAAGACAACCCTTGTTGATCTCAAGGGCCAGTAAAAAAGATAGAAAAGCGGGAAGGACAAGGAAGGGCGGGCCCTACAAACTGATACCGGAGCTTTGCACTATGACAGGTATATATAATTTTTGTGAATTTAATAATCATGTATATAATCATAATCATAATAATCATGAGTGGGATCGAAATCAGTGGTACAAAGGTACACACACACACACACACACACACACACACACACACACACACACATGCATACCATGCAATAGCCATGATTAACACTGAATTGTACTGTATAGGCTATACAGTTATACATACATTTAAAAAACTCATTTTTCATGCATTATGCTGAAATTGAAACAATCACATTTCTTTCTTTTTTTTTCTCTTTTTTTTTGAATCTCAGGGGGGGATATTTGTACAGGCCATCCCCCCCTCCTTCAAGAGCGGGGGGGGGGATGCATCCCCCATCCCCCGGGATTTACGCCCCTGGGGCGAATCACTTAAAGAGCGCGCGGAGCGCACTTCCTAGGGGGTGGGTGCAGGGAGGGAGGAGTTTCCTCCCGCGCGAAGCGCGGAAGCTCTGACGTTTCATTAAATTATTAGAGAGAGAAGACGATTCGTTGTACCGTTCTCGACTCTTAATCCTGAATTTTCAAAAATAATATTGGTTTTATTGCTAAACAAGATTTCGATTTTGTTTAGGATATCTTCAGAAAACAGCATTAGCAATAGTCATATTATTGTGTAGGTAGGTAATATGACTATACCTACTAGGTACGCATGATATGTTATGCCGAGCTGGATGAAAGGCGAACTGCGCTGGGCTCAAAGCTCATTTCACAAAATATTTTTAAATAATTTAAAGATATATCTGTTGTTTCTTTTATAATCTTTTTAACACAGTCTTTGTCATGTGTCTTTGTATGCTCCTTTTTCTTCCTACGTCTTCTTTCTTTTTTCTCTTCTCTCTCTCTTTTTTTGGCCGGCGTTTTTGGCCCCACCCCCTTCCTGGCTGCATGCGCATGATCTCTATAATATTAGATTATATTTATTAGGACTTATTAATTATTTGTTAAGATTATAAGATTTTATTATAGAGATCAGTGTCTTAGAACCATAGAAATAGTATAGATAACCAGTTACCAGATAGGTTTCTATTTCTATGCTTAGAACAATACCTCAGAGCATCAGAGCTCTGATAGGGTCAAGAGACTTGGGTTCTTGCCGCCTTGCCGCGCGTCACTACGTCACGTGGTCCGGCGCCGTCGCTCGAGCCACTAGCGTGGTAGCGCCATTTCTATTATAGCCGCCATTTGTATTTCTTATCGTAAGTAAGTCTCATGTTTATTGTCTACTTTCTCCTTTTTTGTTTGTTTATATGCCGTGAATCGCAGGCCAAGTGTATATAAACTGCATATTGTTGTATAGTGTTTGCAAAAATTCTTTATTAACGTCATGTTCGCTAAGAACTTTGGTTGAATAACGCGACCTAGATATCAGAACTTTTTAGCTCTAGTACTAGTAGTACTACTACTACTAGTACTAGTACTACTACTACTACTACTAGTACTACTACTAGTACTAGTACTAGCCCGCGTACAGTTGCCGCAGGGGGGAGGCTGCTAGCAACTGTATACGGGCTATAGTACTAGAGCTAAGCACTTTTTAACTTTATACTTCGCTTTTCGTTATTCATTTGCTACTCTCCTACACCTTTCCTTTCACTCACTTGTGTAGCGTCACGCTCTACATAATATACATATACATATACATATATACCAGGAGTAGATAATAGGTAACTTCCCTATTATCTACTCCTGATATATACATACGTCGTATGTGTCGTCGTATATACGTCGATACAACATATCAGGAGTGGATAATAGAGATTATTGATTATTGTTAATCTATATTATCCACTCCTGAACATAACGTACGTGTGCAAGACGATAAGACGTCAGGGGCGCGTATATACCCGCGAGTTGGTATGTCAGCCGTTAGATACATTATAATGTAACCCAACATAAGCGTACATATGTCAAATTACTACCCCATACCATACCATACTGGCAACCATACTGGTTATTACCATACTGGCAATTAACGCGTGAATGAGGTATACTGTTAGGGTTACGGACAGGTAACACTGTAAAGGGCATTGGAAAATAACTGCTGATCAAATTCAATCGAACTCATAATATTCATTACATAAGAGAGATGTCTCTCTACGCTCTCAATTAAATTTTTTTTTGTAAAATTTATCGCTAATTAAGTGACAGAAAAAATTGTGAATTTATACAAAAACAATTTTATTTTTTTATTTTTAGAAACAGAGGGTTAACTTAAACTTTTAACCATAAGTTGTTCATAATATGAACTAAAAAACTCCCTGGAATTAAAAAAAAAGCTTTAATTTAGGAAATAAGTTAGAAAAAATGTACGAAAATTTGTAGTGATTTTCAAAACGCAACAATTTTGTAAACAATGAGCTATAACTTATAAAATATAATATGAAATTCCAGAAACACTTTTTTTCTTTGATATGTTAGCATTGAAACGTAACAAAAAATTTTGGAATCGGCGTTGTGCGTTTTGAGAAATAGCGTTTGAAAAATCAGCAACTTACTTCAGTATTTCTAACAATGGAGATATTAGCACTTTTCTAAATTTCCCATGATTGAACGCCTGCGGGGATTTGTAATTGTTTGGGAGGCTACATACATAACTTCTACGTATAGCTGCCCATGGGTGCGATCTATCAAATAAAGTGGGTATCGAAATTTCGACTGAACTGAATTAATTTACGTAGGAATATTAGTCGATAGAGATTACATAAACATTGAGACTCTGGTAGCAAATACATTTCGTGTTTATTTACCATCATTTTATCATCGAAATGTTTCAAGTGTGTCTGTGATAGAACCTGTTCACCATCAGGTTGATTGATGGTCATGAGATTTTATGGCCAGCACTAGCCACGAGGGAAAACTATATTTAGCGTGCGAACACTCGCATTCAGTCGGTCGCAGGCCAAAATGGCCTACCCCAAATAGTCTAAAAAGGGTCAGTCGATCGCGTATCATTGTTGTGTCAACGGTTTTACATATTATAGGTCAAAATGCAAGCAGCGCCCCCGCCGGATAGATTGAGCCCATGAGCGAGAGCGCCATCGGTCGCCGTGCCTCATCTGCCGTAAAGTGCTTACGAATGTAGGCCTATACACGATTGCTTGATACGAGAAGTGAACAATAGCTGCACGTGTGACCAATTGTCCGAGACCGGGCCGCGAAATTTTTTCCTGAACCTTTCGGGCAGTACAGCCTACATTTGTACATCTTCTTCGTTTTTCTTCTTTATTAATTTTTTTCTTATTATTATATGTCTCAATCATTATATGTCTCAATTATAAATCAAAAATCATCAATCAATATCATCAATCAAAAATAAATAAAGAAGAACAAACGAAGAAAAAGATGTCCCCTACTGTGTCATTCATACGCCGCGCGCCTCCTGCCAACGCGCGGTTTCCCTTTATATAAATATATACACTCGCGCGTGTAACGACGAAGATGACGTTACCCGGTTCAAAGTAGATTAGTTGTAGCGATGAATAATGAAACTCCAAACTCCAAGCAGTTGTGTTCAGCAAATAGTATATTGTTTCTCAACACACATGCGCTCGCTCAGAGGCACGCAGCCGCGTGCCTCACACACTCACGTCCGACCTCTCTCACAACCAAGAACCTTCTCCTTTATACATTTCTAGATAACAAAGGACGTCGCGCGCGCCCGGACAAGCACACTCCAGCCGTTGTGCTGAAAAAAAATACATTGTGATTTTGCGCATTGCGTGACGCGTCTGACCGCATTGTGTTCACTCTGGTTCAGTGATAAGAAATTATGCATGTGCTTGTTGTCCATTGCGTGATGGTAGCGTGAGCAGAACACGTGATAAAAACAATCGCGTTGATTGGTTCAATTGTCTTTCGCCGTCACGTCAGCCGGCAAAAGTCAACTCATTCGACTTTCGCCGTCCGTGAAACCCCAGCTGGCCGCCTGCCGTGTCCTGGAGACTGCGCGCATAAGATATAATAGATTTGAACTTTGGCTGGTAGGTCGGTGAACGACGATCGTTTCCGTGGCGTTCCGTGCGCGCGCGCGTGTGTGGAGACGGGCCTTAAGATTTGTGCCCAAATGTTGACGCACGGACGCACGGACATTTAATGATTCATGCGATTCTACAACTACAAGCTGCATCTGACTTCGTCAGATGAGCTAAAAACTAAACAGTAAAACTAAAACTAAAAGTAAAAAGTGCTTAGCTCTAGTACTATAGCCCGTGTACAGTTGCCTAGCAGCCTCCCCCTGCGGGAACTGTACGCGGGCTAGTACTGAGTACTAGTAGTACTACTACTACTATTACTACTACTACTCACTACTACTACTACTAGTACTAGAGCCAAAAGTGCTGATATCTAGGTCGCGTTAGTCAACAAAGTTCATTAGCGAACATGACGTTAATAGACAATTTTTGCAAACACTATACAACAATATGCAGTTTATATACACTTGGCGCCTGCGATTCACGGCATATAAACAAACAAAAAGGAGAAAATAGACAATAAACATGAGGACTTACTTACGATACGAAATACAAATGGCGGCTATAATAGAAATGGCGCTACCACGCTAGTGGCTCTCGAGCGACTGCGCCGGACCCACGTGGACGTTAGTGACGCGCGGCAAGGCGGCAGAACCCAGTCTCTTGACCCTATCAGAGCTCTGATGCTCGTGAGGTATTGTTCTAAGCATAGAAATAGAAACCCTATAATCTGGTTATCTATACTATTTCTATGGTTCTAAGACACTGATCTCTATAATAAATCTTATAATCTTAACAAATAATTAATAAGTCCTAATAAATTAAAATATAATCTAATATTATAGAATCATGCGCATGCCAGCCAGGGGGGGGGGGGGGCCAAAAAAAACGCCGGTCAAAAAAGAGAGAGAGAGAGAAAAAAGAAAGAAGACGTAGGAGAAAAAGGAGCATACAAAGACACATGACACAAGACTGTGTTAAAAAGATTCAAAAGGAAACAACAGATATATTCTTTAAATTATTTAAAAATATTTTGTGAAATGAGCTAATGAGCCAGCGCAGTTCGCCTTTCATCCAGCTCGGCATAACATATATCATGCGTACCTAGTAGGTATAGTCATATTACCTACCTACACAATAATATGACATTGCTATGCTTGTTTCTGAAGATATCCTAAACAAAATCGAAATCTTGTTTAGGCAATAAAACCAATATTATTTTTGAAAATTCCAGGATTAAGAGTCGAGAACGGTACAACGAATCGTCTTCTCTCTCTAATAATTTAATTGAAACGTCAGAGCTTCCGCGCTTCGCACGGAGGAAACTCCTCTTCTCCCTGCAGCCACCCCCTAAGAAGTGCGTCCCGCGCGCTCTTTAAGTGGTTCGCCCCCAGGGGCGTAAATCCCGGGGGATGGGGATGCATCCCCCCCCGCTCTTGAAGGAGGGGGGATGGCCTGATACCAAATATCCCCCCTGAGATTGCAAAAAAGAGAAAAAAAAAGAAAGAAATGTGATTGTTTCAATTTCAGCATAATGCATGAAAAATGAGTTTTTAAATGTATGTATAAACTGTATAGCCTATACAGTACAATTCAGTGTTAATCATGCTATTGCATGGTATGCAAGACAGACTTCAAGTGGGGCACAGAGGACAGGAGTGACTGCCAGAGGCATATAGCTCTCAAAAGTAGCAAGTGCTATGCGGGTGCAGTGAATCTACACCCAATATATCAAGCTTCTTTGCAGCAGATAGAGAATTGTCTGTCTTGACGCAGAAGTTAGATTTACGGATTATTTATTGAACACAATGTGCCTTTGAGGGCGGCAGACCATGCAAATGAACTTGTCAAGAAAATGTTTCCAGACTCACAAATAGCCAAAAAGTATGATTGCAAACATACAAAAACACGTGAAATTGTTGAGAAATTGCAATTCTTACCTGTGTTTTAATCATGGCGCAACCACTGGAGGGTCGGGGGGAAGGGGGGTCACGACCCCCCGACTTTTATGTGGACCTCCCCCAACTTCTGAAAGACCTTATTTTCTGGGAGGTCCAAAATAGTCCGATAAGCGTTTATAATTTTATTATCGTGAAACATCCATATTTCAGCAGGTGAAAGTTAAAATAAATAAAACCCGAGGTGGGTCAAGTGCAGTGTGATAACTGTGAATTCAAGATTCAGATATCTAAATAGAACCCTTGTTAATATTATTTAGAATTCGACCTACAATAGTACATTCAATCTCACGTGCATGGAACGAGCACGATATTCACCACGCGTTCGCAAAGCCAACCTGTGTTATAGGAAACACACACAAAATATAGGGCCCATCTCCACACAAGCGGCGCGTCGCGGCGCGACGCCGTTCACCTTACCTTCTAATCTATGATATCTTCTGGCGCAGTCTCCACTGACACTGCACGGCGCAGGCCTGTTTCACCGGCCGACGGGCGAAAAGACAATTGAACCAATCAACGGCGATTGTTTTTTATCAGTTTCTGGAATCAATATTGAAGCAATTGCAAAGGATGTTGCAAAGTGTGACTCAAGGAAGGTCACATTTGGTTTCTAACACTGTTCCTGTTTTCACGTGTCAGGCATGTTTTTGCATTATTATTTTCATCATTATTATTTTCCTCTTCATCTTAATCATGCTAACTGTGTCACACAGTTAGCACAGTCTGTGTGTAGCATTACTACTAGTTTTCATTTAATTAATAAAACATATTGGTATTTTATGCTATATCATAATCCTAGTAATGTCATTCATGACATCACAATTATGCAACACTTCCATCAACACGCTGAAATACGTGATATTGAACCAATACGTGATATTCGCTCGCCGGCAGATCACGTTCTATTGGCTGCTTCGTGACCCCCCAACTTTCAACACGTGTTGCGCCCTTGGTTTTAATACATGTATTATTACTATAGTAACCTAACTGTGTACGCGCTCTCTGAAAGGTAGTGAAAAGTGTTTTGAATCCTAACTTGTAGATTGAGTTCTAGGGTTGAGATAGTTCCATCAGACCTGACAGTCTCAGATTGCAGGAAAATGGCTAAATATTATCAAAATTTCTGGGGGGCATGCCCAGACCCCCTAGCACTGCATGCCTACGGCACGTGGCAATTAAACGTACGGTTGTCAAATTGCATGTGCGGCAGCGGCATGTATGCATGTAATAAATGTATCATGTACGTATGTTTGTGTGTGTGTGTGTGTGTGTGTGTGTGTGTGTGTGTGTGTGTGTGTGTGTGTGTTTGTTGTTGTTCGTTTGTGTGTGTATTGTGGGGGGGGTGTGTGTGTTGTGTGTGTTCGTTGTGTGTGTATCGTGTGTGTGTGTTTGTTGTTTGTTCGTTTATGTGTGTATGTGTGTGTGTGTGTGTGTGTGTGTGTGTGTGTGTGGTGTGTGTGTGTGTGTGGTGTCGGGTGTGTGTGTGTGTGTGTATGTTCGTGCGTGCGCCGATCGCGCGCGCGCCTGTGGCGTAAATTATTGTGGGAGTGTGCTCGTGCTAGTATGTGATGGCTATCGCCGATCATCCCCCCCCCCACTCCTCGGTACGAGATTTACGCCTTGATTCCCCGCCCGCACACTTCACGTGCTCATTACCGCCCCCTTAAAATAAAATCCTAGCTACGCGCCTGTAACACGTACAAAACGTGCGCGCCACTGTTTTTACCCCAATGTATCGTTGAATGTTGAGGGATGTGATCAAACTGTAACTCGGATTGCATCATGCCGCCACAGGGTGATACTCAATCACGGTACATAAAATAATTAGGTTAATATAGGATTAAAAGTGTTGTTACCGGGGACACACATCGTATAGCAGGCTCGGGAATTAATAATCTCGACAAACTGGACAGCCTCCCAGCTGTAATACACCCGTACCTTATAAATTATTATAGCTATAGCTCTTATATAGTATTATTAGTTCTTGTAAATAATAAATATTCCAGAGGAGACCGGATACAAGATGGCCTTGCGCAAAAGATGCGGTTGTCCCCGGACCGCCGAAGGTTAAGCGCGCGCACTTCGCGGGACTGTGGCGCAACGCGAGCCGCGGGATGTTATGCGTATAAGCTTCCCCGCCGAAGGAAGGCGGCGCGCGAATGCGTATAGCGGACAGCGTAACATCGCGGAGTTTTCGGGACACGTACATCGGCTCGCTACATCGGCTTTCGAGGGGGGGCTTTCCGATTATGGATTGACACGCGTTTGTACGATCCTCGCCGTCGTACCGTCCCTGCCGTATTTTCGTACCTTGATCTGGCTTCTCCACTATCTATCTCTCTTTTTCGCACTCCCCACAGTCTGT